AACCTCTATTCCTTAAATTTAAATTATGGACGTCCGTTCTGAATCGAATTTTACTATATAAATAAGCTGGTGTTTCAGTAACTAAAATTTTGTGATAAAGTAAGCATTCATGTAAAACTCGTCGTTCTGCTAAATTTAACCACTTCAATTCCTTTAAATATTTTGAAGTTGGTGTGCACCTTCTCAAACTATAAATAAGCCGAATACAACAATTTTGTACTCGCTGTAATCTTAATTGATCCCTTTTCAAAAGTCCAGGCCCAAATACTACATCCCCATAATTTAAGTGGGATAACACATTTTTGTTTTTTTAGTTAATACACCCCTGCTACCATAAATTAGTTTTAGATTAGCAAAAGCTCTTCGAAGCATCATTGTGACATGAGATGTAAAACGTAGATCGGAGTCAACTATCAAGCCTAGGTTTTTGACAGAGTTTACGATATTTAGCTCATCTCTTCCTACATTTATTTTTAATTTTCCGATACATCTATTTCTAAGAGCGCTTTTTCCAAAAAGTATGGCTACTGATTTAGTGCTATTAATTGAAAGACAAAATTTATTTGACATATTAATGAGAGACTCAATATCTTGATTGATCTGTTGGCAAGCAATATGTTTTCCTCAGAAAATGTATGACAATTGTGTATCGTCAGCATAAAAATGAGACGAGCAGAAATTTAGTTTTTTATAAAAATCTAATGTATAGATTATAAATAAAATAGGACCTAAAATGGATCCTTGCGGCACTCCATTGTTTACTTGTGAAAACACAGAAGAAGACGAGTTATAAATTACAGCTTGTTGACGATTACTCAAATAATTACGAAATAAATTAACACTATTATTATCATCACAACCTATGTAATGCAAAATTGATAAGAGTAATTGGTGATTTATTCGATCAAAAGCTTTCGAATAATCTAACAAAATTAACGCGACCATTTTATTTTCATCCAAAGCATTATGAATATCATCAGTAACTTTTAACAAAGCTGTAGTACAACTGTGCAAATATCTGTAACCGGACTGATGAGGAGGTAAAATATTATTGGTGTTCAAAAAAGATATTAGTTGTTTATTGATTATTTTTTCGAAAGCTTTAGAAATTGCGCATAAAATACTAATTGGTCTCAGATCTTTAGGACTACTGGGATTTGACATTTTTGCCAATGGGATTACAAGAGCACGTTTCCACATAGCAGGGTAAACATTCTTAATTATGCAATAGTTAAAAATATGTGTCACGTAAGGTAATATGATTGGACAACAATGCAGCAACATGTCTATACTAATACTGTCTACACCTACAGCTTTGGATTTTATTGTTAATAGTACAGAAAATATGTCTGCCTCATTAGTTGTGACAAGTTTCAAGATATTGTTATGAGCTAAGTTTTGTCCATAGTAAGACATGAGATCAGTATCAGCTTTAGAATCACTTTTTGAAGAGTCTACGAAAAATTTATTTATTCTGTTTAGGTCCTGTAAAAATGGAATGTCATTATTTTTATTTATACTATAAATGTTTAGTTCACGTAAGTCTTTCCACATTTCCTTTGGGTTACTATGTCGAAAACGAAATTCCAAATATGCCTTTTTTTCACGAGAAATTGCACCGTTTGTGTAATTTCGTAATTCTTTATAATAACTCCAATGATGCATTAATTTCGTTTTCTTGTATCTAGCCAAAGCTTTGTCTCTTAGTGACATCATTAAACGTAAGTTGTCCGTTAATCATGGAGATTTTTTCTTTTTAATTCTAACAGTTTTAATTGGAGCACAATCATTAAAAATGTTTTTAAGAGTATTACTGAGAATGTTCACTTTATCATTAATATTGGAAGATGTATAAATTCTATTTAAATTACCGTTTCTTATATCATCATGTAAGCTTATTTCATCAAAGTTAGTATAATCCCTGAAAGTGTACATAAAAGGTTTCATTTTATCTGTTATTGCTTGAATAATACACGAAACTAAACTGTGATCAGAAAAAGGCTGATGTACATCTGCTTGTTTAACAGGAAGATCATTTGAACATATTATTAAATCTAGCAATGACATACTTGTTGAGCTAATTCTAGTTGGTTGGTCAATTAATTGTTTTAGATCAAAAACATCCAAAATGTTTTGTAATTTTTTGCACTCAATAGTCTCTGGGTCTAAGTTATCAATATTGAAATCTCCTAAACACAATATATAGTCATGTGTATGTAAAACATTACTCAAAACATTTTCAAAATCATTTAGAAATGCCTCATAGAATCTATTATGTGACAAATATAAGGTGCCAAGAGCATATTTTTTATGTTCAATTTCAATTGTTAGCCACAACTGTTCACTAGTTATCCCTAGACCAGAAATTAATTTAGATTTAATATTATTCTTTAAATAAATAACAACTCCCCTACCTCTTATATTTAAACGGTCATTTCTGTATATTTTGTGACCAGGCAGAGACACAATATCATTATCAATTTCAGGTTTTAGCCAAGACTCTGAAACCGTTATTATATCATATTTATTATAAACCGAATCTCTAAATTTTAGAAATTTATTTAAAATCGATCGTGTGTTTACACGACACACTTTTATTAACTTAGACATTTCTTTACTAATTATTACAGAAACTATGAAAAACTATGAAACTAATTTGTGAAAAAAAGAAACTATATTGTATAATAGTACATTATATACCTAGGGTGAGAAGTGAGCTATTATTTACCGAGCACTTTTATATAATGTGCGAGGTAAATAATAGCTTTCTCAGCCGAGGTATATATAGAATTTTTTTTACTACTAACATTAATGTATTAGCAATTTTAATTTTGACATAAGTAATTTCCTAAGAATTTGTTAAATATTTCGAAATATCAAGCAGACTGGAGCGTGTTTCTAATCAGACTGGCTTTATTTATGTAAAAATTTGGCATGTGTCAAATTTTGGTATGATTCTAGGAAATATCCCATTGCATTTTTGATATTTTAATGACATGGATTTATTGTTATTAATTAATAATTTTTAAAGCCGGTGTTGAATTTCCTAGTTTATATATATTTTTACTATTAACACTGATATATATTATCATATTTGATTTGATTAGATTTTAATAAACCCAGCTTTAGTTATTTCCTACTTATTTTTCAAATATTTCAAAATATCAAGTAGTCTGGGAGTTTAGTTGTCAAATTAACAAAATGAAACTAATGAAATTTAGTTTCATTATTTACCTAGGTTTTTTTTATTATCATTATTTACCTAGGGAGAGAAATATTACTTCTCATTAGAGGAATGGAGTAAATAATGGTGATTTCTCATGTTAGTAGTAAAAAAATAAATTTACAAATTAGGTTTATGTTTTAATAAGTACATTTTATTGTTTCGTTTTTTTGGTACTTCTAGTATTGATAGGACTGGATTTAGCTTTATGTTTTCTTCTATGTACTTAAGAGACCGCATTCGATTTTTCTATCTTTTCAGCCTTTGAACTTTTCTCCTCTAATTCTTCTTCACTAGAGTTTACCTCTTCCGCTTCACTGTAGTCTTCTTCTTTTTCTTCTTCTTCTTCTTCTTCTTCTTCTTCTTCTTCTTCTTCTTCGTCTTCGCTTCCAGATCTTTCTTCTAATTCATCTATTGAATATGATTTTCCATCGATAATCAGCTTAAAACCATTAATTTTAGTATCTAAATTTTTTTCTTTAACAGTTTTCTGATGTTGTCTTAAAATATTTATTTTTTCTCGATCTTCCTTAGAGAGATCATCGCCTAAAGACAAGCCCTTTTTCCTAAGCTCTTTTAATTTATTAATATCTTTAAACAAAGTTGATTTTTTTAGATATGTAGCGAATTCTACCAATACTGGAGCGTGTTCAGATTTTCCAAGTTTAAATGTATTATTTATTTCACTGTGCTTTATATTACAATCTAGATTGTCATTTAACGTTCCTACAGTCTTATCTATAATATTTTCTCCTTCCTCAATTTTAATGCCGAAAATTACAATATTATTTTTCTTAGCTCCTCTTTCAAGTTCTTGGCACTTTTGTTTTAATATTGATATTTCCTTATTTGCATCATTCACTTTTTTAGTAAGTGAATTTGTAGTTTTTTGTAGTTCTAATTTCAATTCTTCAGTTTGCTCTTTGTTGGCTTTTAATATTAATTGATATAATTGCGCAAATTCAGATTCTTTAATACTGCCGTTTTCCATAGTTTGCAATAAAATAAATCAAACTGTACATTGGTACTGGTATAAAATGTGTAAACTTTTAAGGTATGTGGCCACCTTTAGTTATCGTATGAACCTTCTGATAAAAGTGATCTGATTAAGCATAAAACCACTTTTTTATTAAAATTTGTGTACACTTTTAATGTGTAGAACTAGGTTAATTTTTAATAATGATGAAAATTTACATGTATATATTTGAAATCTACTAAATTTTCAATTTGATTGTCTTCTTTATTATCAGATTACTCTACTAGTTCACTTTTATAATTAAATTATTGGTACATACCAGGTAAATTTTATTTTTCTGGGAACGATGTGAACAATACACCCACACACTTCGATTCGCAGATAGATGGGACCACTCCTGAAGTACCACCTCTCTAACAAAAAAGAATCATTGAAATCGGACACCGTATTAAAGAATTATCACTGAACATACGTAAAAAAAATATATTCCGACGAATTGAGAACCTCCTCCTTTTTTGAAGTCTGTTAAAAAAGGCTCCAAATTGAAAAAAATAAGTGATCCACTTTTTTTTATCTAAATTAAGCCAATGACTGACAAAGACAGATAGATATATGAATTACGTTTGCGATAACTACCAAAACCTATGGATTAAATCCAAACTGTCATTTAAAAATAATTGTATGCTCAGACATGCGTGATTTTATATTGAATCACTCCATAGTTCTATTACCTACCAATTTTTTCTTACTTAATTGACGCCGTTCTATTATTTATTCTTAATAATTTTATTGTGTTTTCAGCTTACCTATCAACGAAAAAGTACAACATTTTTACGGTAGATTGGTCGCCGATAACACACTTTCCTTGCTACGTCTCGGCACTTTCTAATACCCGGATAGTTGGACAGTGCTCTGCTAAATTATACTCGTTTATAATGAACAATGGAGGAGTCGCTACAGAAACCACCTGCATAGGTCATTCTTTAGGTGCCCATATTTGTGGCATGATTAGCAATCACTTAGATAAGAAGCAGCATAAGGTAGTCGGTAAGTACACAGATGTTTATGAAGGAAACACTTAGGGCAGGGTTTGTACCAAGTATGGAACATAAATTTTTTTTAATTTGGTCTTCGATGAAGTTATAGTAAGTAAATTCAATGCTCCTTTTCTACAGAGTGTTAGTATATTCGACAGACAACGCTCTACCCCAAAGAGCTCTCGTTAATTGTTTAATTTTAATATAAAAACATAAACTCTTACAAGTATTACAAATTAAAAATTTTAAAAAACCGACTTCAAAAACGTGCAGATGCCATCACCACATTTTAATCAAATTTATATGGGACCACCCCTGAGGTACCCCCTTACTAACAAAAAAAGAATCGTATAAATCGGACAAGGTGGTAAAGCATTATCGCTAAACATACATAAAAAATGAAGACTTTGAGGATTTTCTCATGGATCCAATTATTAGATTTTGACCAAATTTATATGGGACCACCCCTAAAATACCTCCTTTCTAACAAAAAAAGAATCATTGAAATCGGTCACCGTGTTAAAGAGTAATCGCTGAACATACATAAAAAAAAAATATCGCGACGAATTGATAACCTCCTCCTTTTTTGAAGTCGGTTAATAATTTTAAAAATGATAAAAACTTGAAATTTAAAAAATTATATGAAACATAAGAGAATTTTTTGTCACAAAAAAAATTAAATTTTTTATCAAACCATGAATAAATACAACCAAGATTAATGACGAGATACTACGGTTGAACACACTCTAAAGCTAATAACAAGAACTGGTATGGTTAATATAGGTAACTCCAAAAACAAAAATGAGCTTTTTCGTATTTTATCGAATATCTCCGAAACCAGTCGGAAACTTTTATGGATCGTTATATTACCCGTTAAAATATTAAAATTTCTAATCGACATTTTATGTTCCAATTAAAGATCCACCCTGTGTACTTGTGGACTTCTTTTACGCTTTTCCATTTATATCTAACTTCAAATCATTGAATTACAATGATTCAGCATATACTGAAGTTAGTTATGGAGTCCACCTCCCGAACTCAACGTAGATTGTGGGCAGAGAGTAGAATTTGTTTTTGTTCTCAGGGTTCCCTGTAATAGAGTCTATACCTGTATAACTGTGCATAAAATATTACCTGATTAAATTATTAAAAAACAAATCTCTACTATTAACCCTTAACTACTACAAGTTGGGTCACACAGACCCAACAACAATTTCATTCTCCTCCCACTCTTTAAGACGTAGCCGTCTGCTGTTGTGCTCTCGTGTATTCTCCCATCATTTAGTTCTGCTTGAGATGTTAGTGCGTGCGTGACGGTTATTAATAAACTTTTCTAAATATTCTAGTGGTCGGGTTTCACGGGCTCAGTTGTAGCATCAACGTACCTTTTCTGGTGTAAGACAGTGTCAGGTAAATAGACAATACCGTCTTTTTTTAACTTGATTTATTTATTTATTTATTTATTTATTTATTTATTTATTTATTTATTTATTTATTTATTTATTTATTTATTTATTTATTTATTTATTTATTTATTTATTTATTTATTTATTTATTTATTTATTTATTTATTTATTTATTTATTTATTTATTTATTTATTTATTTATTTATTTATTTATTTATTTATTTATTTATTTATTTATTTATTTATTTATTTATTTATTTATTTATTTATTTATTTATTTATTTATTTATTTATTTATTTATTTATTTATTTATTTATTTATTTATTTATTTATTTATTTATTTATTTATTTATTTATTTATTTATTTATTTATTTATTTATTTATTTATTTATTTATTTATTTATTTATTTATTTATTTATTTATTTATTTATTTATTTATTTATTTATTTATTTATTTATTTATTTATTTATTTATTTATTTATTTATTTATTTATTTATTTATTTATTTATTTATTTATTTATTTATTTATTTATTTATTTATTTATTTATTTATTTATTTATTTATTTATTTATTTATTTATTTATTTATTTATTTATTTATTTATTTATTTATTTATTTATTTATTTATTTATTTATTTATTTATTTATTTATTTATTTATTTATTTATTTATTTATTTATTTATTTATTTATTTATTTATTTATTTATTTATTTATTTATTTATTTATTTATTTATTTATTTATTTATTTATTTATTTATTTATTTATTTATTTATTTATTTATTTATTTATTTATTTATTTATTTATTTATTTATTTATTTATTTATTTATTTATTTATTTATTTATTTATTTATTTATTTATTTATTTATTTATTTATTTATTTATTTATTTATTTATTTATTTATTTATTTATTTATTTATTTATTTATTTATTTATTTATTTATTTATTTATTTATTTATTTATTTATTTATTTATTTATTTATTTATTTATTTATTTATTTATTTATTTATTTATTTATTTATTTATTTATTTATTTATTTATTTATTTATTTATTTATTTATTTATTTATTTATTTATTTATTTATTTATTTATTTATTTATTTATTTATTTATTTATTTATTTATTTATTTATTTATTTATTTATTTATTTATTTATTTATTTATTTATTTATTTATTTATTTATTTATTTATTTATTTATTTATTTATTTATTTATTTATTTATTTATTTATTTATTTATTTATTTATTTATTTATTTATTTATTTATTTATTTATTTATTTATTTATTTATTTATTTATTTATTTATTTATTTATTTATTTATTTATTTATTTATTTATTTATTTATTTATTTATTTATTTATTTATTTATTTATTTATTTATTTATTTATTTATTTATTTATTTATTTATTTATTTATTTATTTATTTATTTATTTATTTATTTATTTATTTATTTATTTATTTATTTATTTATTTATTTATTTATTTATTTATTTATTTATTTATTTATTTATTTATTTATTTATTTATTTATTTATTTATTTATTTATTTATTTATTTATTTATTTATTTATTTATTTATTTATTTATTTATTTATTTATTTATTTATTTATTTATTTATTTATTTATTTATTTATTTATTTATTTATTTATTTATTTATTTATTTATTTATTTATTTATTTATTTATTTATTTATTTATTTATTTATTTATTTATTTATTTATTTATTTATTTATTTATTTATTTATTTATTTATTTATTTATTTATTTATTTATTTATTTATTTATTTATTTATTTATTTATTTATTTATTTAACTTATGAAATTCACACAAAGTCGAGGCTGGCAAAAGAATTATTGAAAATGCCGACGAAAGTGATCAAGATGAGAGCGATGTCGAAATTTTTAGCGACCAGAATTCCTGTAGCGAGGAGGAATGACAACCATCTGCAGATGAGGATTTGTTATCAGAGGATGAGATATATGAAGAAGAGGAAAGAAAAGAAAAAAAGACAAATAAAGATGACAGAAGATAAAGAAGATGAAAGCAGCGCCTCCAACTACCTTTACGGAAAAGTAAAAATGAAGTGGTGGTCCAAGATCCCCCCCAAAAGTAGTAAAACAACAAGGGAAAATATTGTAACTGTTTTGCCAGGACTAAAAGGGCCAGCTTGCTTGAATCCTCCTAAAACAAACTTAGATGCGTGGAAGCTTTTGATTAATTCTGATACGACATATGGCTGCCAATATTTTGAAAATTAAAATGATGGATACTATTGAACCTTAACAAGGTGCAGGAGATAAGAAAAGAAAAATATGTGCTTTTTGTGTTGTGAAAAAAGATAGAAAAACAAGTTATGTTTGCGCATTATGCAAAAAACCGATTTGTTTGGAATGTACCGTTAAAATTTGTCCAAATTTTAAATAACTTACATTTGAATTGTTCATTGTATTAAAGTAATATACATTTTCATTTCCCTTTAAAAAATGAATATTATTCATAAATAATATGAATTTTATTTACAAGATGTGGGTCCGAGAGACCCACTTGTACCAGTTACGTAAAAGATATTTAGTTGTAGCAGTTAAGGGTTAATACACTTATTCTGTCTATACTCTCAACTTGCAAAATCTCCTTTTATGGCAGAAATAATGAATTAATATTGGTTTTTAGGTTTAGATCCTGCAAGACCACTAATTGACGACTTTGCCGATCCACAATTTAGGCTATCAAAAGATGACGCTTATCAGGTACAAGTTATTCACACAAATGCTGGATTTTTAGGTGAATCTAACCAAGTGGGCCATGTAGACTTCTGTGTAAATGGAGGAAGATTTCAGCCAAGTTGTTATGGCCACAGATTAAGTACGTATATAAATTTGATAACATGGAGCAAAATGATAAACTACAGGTTATTATGTGCCCTAATTTAAACTAAAATAACGAAAATTCAAATAGTTCTAGAATAGTGAGACAATCGGTTTTAAAAGTTTTGACAATTTATCAGTTAGATTCTAAAACTAGGATGATAAATTTCTTGGAAATCCCCAAACATATTCCAAAATTACCCCTACGAAATAATGAAAATTATTTTTGAATCTTCATGGTGAAAACAAATTTAATGAAACATTAATAAACATCTGTTCTAGGGGGTTTGAATTCAGCTATCCGTGTTCTACGCACACCGCTCTTACCAATTAAGCAATCGGAGACTTGATCACTGACTTCCCAATCGTTAACATGAATATAAGAGTTCGAATACAGAAAATTTTCAATTCTTTAACAAACTACTGAACAGCATCGTTTGCGCCGTCTTGCAGACACTTCCCCTATGTCGTCTGTGATGTATTAAGTTATACCGTATATTGAAAGTGCGGTGTGGATTCCTTAATTATATCTGTGCTTCCGCCTTTTGTCGCATTATCTAGATGGATTGTATGGTGTAAGCGGCGTTGATGAAGTTGTATAACCGTTGAAATAGTTCTCTAAGATGCATCTCATATTCAGCTTCATCTCTATTTGCAATAAGAATATCGTCGACGTATACAAATACAAAATTCAAACCAAAAGTAACTTCATTCATGAATCGTTGAAAAGTTTGAGCTGCATTACGTAGACTGAAACCCATGCGATTAAATTCAAAAATTCCGAATGGTGTTGTTATCGCGGTTTTAAATATGCCTTCGTCTGCAATGGGAATCTAATTATACGCTCTAAGTCAATCCTAGAAAACAAATTACAATTTTTTAGAGAAGTATTGAAGTCTTGTATATTTGGTAACAGATATCTGGCCGGTTCGGTAATTGAATTTAATAGTCTGTAATCCCCACAGGGACGCCAATGAAGTGAAGAAGAAACTGATGATAAAGAAAGTACCTACAAATTCCAACTTCGACCATGTACTCAAAATTTTGTTTTGCATACTTTTGTCTAACAGGATCCAGTCGATGAGCTTTGGCGAATGGAAATTGACCTTAAGTGACAATGCGATGAATTGTCGTGTACTTGACAGGTACATTATAATTGGTAGGAGCCGTCAAATATGAGAAATCATTTAATTTTTTTGTAAATTTATCAATAAAGTTATAGATTTTTAGTGAAGGAAAAGCAAAGGGAGACTCCATTTCGACCGAGAATAACGATCAAGGAGAAGCGACAGCTTGGTGTTTTTAGTGTACCGTTTTGTAACGCGTATGTGCGAAAATAAGTTAGTCCAAGTTGTGTTTAGTACGTGAGCAATGTTAAGTGATATTTTTTGGTGTTTGTTTTGTGTAGTAATAAAATGAAGATTTTTACACACTTAGGTATTCTAATGCAGATATAAAATGTGCCAAAAAAGTTACTAGGAAACTAAGAATTTTATCACATGCATAAATATTAAGTATAATGATTTAATCATTTTTGACATTTTATTTTTCATATGTAGGTATTGTATTTTGTGAAATATATGTTTTCTTCTTTTAAATAAATTTAATAAACAATGAACTGGAGATTTTGTTTATTTTATTTTGAAATTATATTTAAAAAAATATAATAAATCCGCGTGTTTCAATTACGATTGGTCAAAATGGGCAAAATCCCTTTATTATGGCTAAATTGTAAGGTACAATTATGTCAATATAAAGATGTTTTGCCCATTCACATTTACATTTAATGAATGAATCATACTGGAGTTGATTTTGGAAATATTGGTGCACACTTAAATAAGTACTATTTCAAAAAATTCGTCTATGCCCAGACAGCACACATAGTCCAATGTTCGTCCACTTTAGATCTATTTGAGGGTCAGGACGTCCATATCCGGGCATCCAGTGTACGTCCGTTTATGCTAATTAAATTGACAGCTGAATATTGATACCCAGAGAACGTCTGGTTTTGAACTTAATTTTAAGTTTAGTAGTATTTTGACGTCCATCTTAGGTCATTATTTATTAAGCCTACCAGATAATACTCATCTATAATATATACTTCTTTTTTAATATAACTGGTCATTAAAAATTGACAAATTGAATCTATTGCATTTCATTCTATCAGCGGAAGTTTGAAATCTTATTCAATTATAACTGTATCTAGTAAAAAGTTTTCAAGTGGTTCCTTGGTCGAGCTCATCTAGCGATTGAAAGGGTAAAACGATAATGGATGTGTCGTGAGTTCGATGCCTGCTCAGGTCAAGCGATTTTTAATAAAAACAAATAAATGGTGTATAGCGGTTTGCGAAAATAATAAACAAATTATTAATAATATAAAATAGTGTGTGGTAAGTTGCGGTTCTGTAAAAAAAAGTGGGGATGTGGTCTCAATGGAAATATAATCCTGGACGTTTTTTGAATGTTCAGTATTCGACGTCCAAATATATTCCAGAATTGAACGTCCTCTGAATGGTCAAAAGTGTGCCATTTGTATACTTCACTGGACGTCTATTGGATGTCGGAAGTCCAGAAAAACTCATTCTTGGACGTCTAGACATCCAAAATTGTATATCGAATGGACGTCCAATGGACATATTTGTATTGTCTGGGTGATAGCCAGGCCAGGTATTTAACTCTAAATACATAAACCTTAAATGACATCTGGCTTAACTTGGCGAGAAAACACTTGCTTATACAGAAATGAGTGATAAACTTGAAAGTCCTTTTAATATAATATACATCCAGAAATTCTAAAAATATGTAAGTCCTTTTTAACCTAAAATTTTGGAAAATATAAGCACATTGCAAATATTTAGTTAAATATCTCAAACTTAATGTCTTTTTAATTGTTACCTAAATTTTTTTTGGCACCCTTAATTTTATTTACCTTATTTTTACTTAAGGAAAAGGTAATTTAATTTAAATATGGGGCTTTTAATACATTTTTAACAATAAATAAACCAAATATTGAACCAATTTTATAGATAAATTATAAAATAATAAACGTCTTTTACTTTTATAATAAATAATTAATTATTACATAATGAATTATATTTTGGTGCCGAAATTTCACCATTGCTACTTCAATGTAATTAAATCACATTACAACATTTGCGCATGGACTATAACAATGATTTCAGATAATTTGCCAAACTATTTCGCTCAGTGTAGAAAATAAGCATGTTTTCTCAGCGTGCTAAGTTGTGTATCAATCAAAGTCATGCTGTGAAAAAGGTATATCCGATATCAAAGGCACCGACAGCTACTGTCGCTTCTCCTTGATCGTTATTCTCGGATTTCGATGGTGTCAACTGAAAGACATATTTGAGAATCAACAAGTGTATGATTTTTGATATTAACCACTAATCCAAACTTGTATAAAAAATCAGCACCGATAATAGAATAGAATAAATGGAAAAGTTAAATATTTTCGGAGCCCTAAATCTACTTTTAATAACTTTTGACCGAAAGTCTTAATAATAGGACCATTAACAGTATCAAAGGGGAATTCTGTTTAAATTGAATAAACTTGGATACCGGGAGAATCGAAAGATCGGCTCCGGTATCAACTAAAAATTTAAACTATTTTTATTGTCTACAATAAAAAGACGACGTGTTTTTTGAAATCTATTATCCGTCGTCGATATGATAGATTTTAAGAATTTTTTTGTACAAAGTTACATGAAGGGGTGCACTTTTTAGCGGAACTCAAAATTCTCATGATATGTACCAACATAAACGGGAGTCTGAAGTTTTCTGAGCACCCCTATTAGATCTACTTGGTCTAGAGGGGATTCAGAATGAGACCTAGAGGAAGACCTAGAAGGGTATCTATATCGATTATAACTTTTGTAATTAATAAATTGTATAATATCAGAAATTTCCGTATTTATCATTTGAAATTCATTATTTAACTTATCCATAGATTCTATAATTTTGGTTAATGCACTGAATTAGCCAAATTTACTTGAAAATTAGGAGAAATATTCCATATTTTATCTGCCAATTCCGCCAGTTCGTCCATGTCCTTTTTATCTGAGGCTACAAGTGCAACCTTTATAGATTGAGGCAGCTTTTTAAACCATTATTGCTTTAATAGTTGCTCGTTAACTATAGAAGGAGACCCAACTAAAATTAGCATTGTTTGTTAAAACGAAGTCTGGAATACGAAAGAAACCTCCTGTATATCAAACAATTGGTGTTTTAACGACAGTTTTAATATTTTTTGAATAATGTCATGTTAGTTTTTTAATTTTGTCATTTAGAAAGGAAGTTGTATTTTTCGATAATATATTTTGAATTATCTCTGCAGTTTTCCATTTAATATCACCGGGTAGGTGTCCTGTAATAAATATTATTTTTTACATTTGGCGACCGTGACAGGACATTTACAATTATTGAAAATGGAGACTCTAAAGAAAACTTTGCAAGTTCAACGGAACTCATTTAATCGAATTTATGAACAACTTTCCACTTTGCTGAAAGGTCCAACCTTTAATGAAATTGAAATTAAAAGCCTTCTACAGTTATTGGATCAGAAGATAGAAGTTCTTACTGATTTAGACAAACAAATGTGCCACTTCTTAGTATCGACCGAATCTATCTCAGACGAAATCTTAAATTTAGAAGTATCAGTATCTGATGAATATGTGATGAAACATTTTAAAATTAAGTTACTTGCAGAAAAATGTTTGCAGAAAGATTCGTTAGATGATGAAAATAGTTTAAACTCTCAACATCCCAGATCAGTTTGTAGTCATCATAGAAACAGTCTAAGACTGCCTAAGTTAGAATTCCAAAAATTTGGTGGTGAAATTAAAGATTGGGTTAGTTGGTGGAGTCAATTTAAAAGAATTAATGATGATGATTCCATGGAAAATGAGGATAAATATCAGTATTTAATACAAGCAACTATTCCAAAATCCCGAGCACGATGTCTTATTGAAAGTTATCCAG